GGGATGGGTGGGTTTACTTGGCCCGCAGTAATTGGCGCAAGCTGTTGCGGTGTCCCTTCCGGTCGGCGAAGCTTGATAAAAAACTGAGGCCGCAAAGATTTGACCGTAATTGATTTTAGTTGAAAATGAATATCCACAGACGTTCTCAAGCTCACAATACGAAATGTTTACTAGTTGTTTTATTACGAGCGGACGTGACCGTGACGGGAAAGTGGGGTTGTGTTACAATGCAAGTGGCGTATAATGACAGTGCTGCGTAAAGCGGATTACATTACAATGCCGACCGTCGATTTTGAGCGCTCTAGAAAACAGTATACGGAGTCCGTAATAGCGTTCTATCAAAACGTTTGTTATGATAATGATATCCTTTAATAATTGCTCCTAAAAAGGCTTTTCGACAACTATTTACAATGATGTGCAATAATGTTTAAATAAATTTGAAAAAAACCATGTACAGTGTGCAAGGCTACAAATGTGTTTCTTATGGTATAATTACGAATAGTTTTCATAATAATAAAGTATGTGAACTTACCTCGTCTGTTTTCTGTAGTTCTTTATGCCTGTTTAGGCGAAACAACTATACCTTTAGTGTAGTGAGCTGGGAGCGTCTGTGGAATATCTTATACGAAAAAGAACCATTACAACTTTGCTTTACTGACCTGCAAAAAAGGCAGTCCTATTTCTATGCCAAAACTTGATCATGGCATGTTACGTGACTATTTTGGCGGGAAATTTATGGCGATCCGATGTTTTTCGGACCCGGTCCGTGTTTTGTCAATCGGACGCAATCCGATCCAGGTTTTGTTAATCCGGTCTGATTCGGTCCAGGTTTTGTCAATCCAATCCGCTCCAATGCCGTCCAGATTTTGTAAACGCCCATCTTTGTTGTCGTTTCCCAGAGTTTGATTAAGAGGCATCTTCTAGTTATCAGCAAACGTTCTCCAGTCACCCCTGTCCTCATTTTCTGTTCACTGATAACTCATTTATTTCTGGTTTGATTCTAGAGAGACCTTCGCTAAATCATTTGATTCTTTTGCTATTTTGAGTTCG